GGCGCGACTATGATATATGGGTGTGCGAGGGAAAGTTCCTAGATGGTACTGATAGGCCAGGACTGTGAAAGTAGTCATAGTACTTGCTCTGATGACAGCAGAAACATGTTAACATCTCTGTATCTGTGTGGTAATAAAGGCTGTTAATAGTTTTGTACTTTTTGAGTACGTATTTTTTGTCCAACACTGTATTTGAGACTGGTCCCTACAATGAGGAAGTACAATTGTGCACAACACATCCATTTTGCGTAGCCACAGTACTGACACAGCAAAGACTTTTTGTGCTAACTGCAATAAACAAATGACAATATATTCCCCCCTTTACTGTTAGTGGTCCAAAATAAGGACCCCTGGGACATTTCTTGTATGTATATCTTGTATACTTTGACAAATCACTTGCTTTGTGTAAATCTGCTGGGAGTGAGGACACAGGGTTCAAAACTGGGACTGTCCCGGGACACCTCAAGGGACATCGGGTCACCTCAAATGTACACAGAAGAGCATCAAAAGTACATAGAGTGCATACACTGATGCCTTCTAAAGTTTTGCATAGCCACAGTAGTGACAGAGCAGAGGCTATTTTGTGCTACCTGCAAATAAACAAATGCAAAAACTGGTTGTGCGCAGTCACTGAGCTTAGTGGTGAGTGTGATTTAGGTTTGACGCATATTGAGTTCCAGTCACAAAATCTTTTTTGAGATTTAAAAAAAAAAAGAGTGAGAATAATTTTGAAAGTTCGAAGAGAAATATATGGCTTATTAAAGGCTATTTTACTTTTGTCAAGGGAAAATTGCTACACTAACTGTCAAAGTTAGCAGAGTAAATCAGCACTTTAGGCTATTCTTTATAATGGTGTAAATTCAAGTGCAGTCGAATGTCTTTTAGTTTTGCCAAATATATCCAGATATTGTCTACCTACTGATTTAGAAGCCTTTTTAAACATTTAATATTGCATAAAATTGACTCTTGTGAGCTTTAAGTCATGTTATAATATTGTTACCTCCTCAAAAACAGACCTGGAGTTGTGTTTTGTTTCATTCACACGTCTGAGTAACCCTTTATTATTAGTCTGTCTACATGTCCAGAGCTCAAAATGCTTTGTTCCACCTTGTGATGTCATGAAGCAGTAGTTTGCAAGTTAACAGCTACCTTTTTACTTTTTGTTCAGCTGAGATTGGCAATTCCATGTCTGAAATGTGGCGTGTGGAGTTTTAAAACACAGTGGAGCACTTAATGTATTACCACATGATATCAGAAGAAGAACCCAGCCTAAATGTGCAGGGTTTGTGTGTTAAACATGTGTGAATGAAACAAAACACAACTCATAGATCACACATAGATCATAAAATAGCGTAATATGGTCCCTTTAAAGTGTGGCATGGTACGTTCAAAAATCAAGCCAACATGACAACTATCTTTCAAATCATATAAGGCTTTGACGCTAAACTACAGGCCCTTCAGTCCCTTCCTGTTTGCACTCTGAAGGTTATGGCCCAATCCGTATTGACACCAAGAAGCTGTAACTAACGCCTCCAGCTAACCACGTTCTACTCCCCAACCTCCGGGGGCGCTGTTCTCTATTTGACCCTGTGACTCGACCTTCTCCGCTGCTCTTCACTGTGGGGGAAACGCGAGAAGAAAAATAAGCATCGCTCCTTCTGGGATCAATAAAGAATACAGTGTGAACGCTTCAAACTAGCGTTCGGTTGGTTGCTTTAGGCCCACAGCCATCACTGGAGCATGCTGGGAGTTGCGGTTTTGGGGGTTAGAGTCAGCTGCTCCCATCACATGCACAACCGAATACAAGCGCACCTGATTTCAATGTGCCTTTTCATACAACATAACAAAAGACAATAAGATGAGATTTCCAAAACAAGATTCCAAGGTTTCAGATTAATCCTGCAAGTAGTTTTGTCAGAATTAAATGAAAACGATGCAATAATTAGGTTCGCAAATCTTTACATGTACAGCCATTACATATTTTAACAATAAAACTATGACTGAATACATAGATATAGTAAGACCTTTGTCATATATGGTCAAATTTTTATATAGCGTTCTAGTTGCTTGTCTCGAACCGCGAACCTTCTAGTTGCTTGTCTCGAACCGCGAACCTTCTAGCTGCTTGTCTCGAACCGTGAACCTTCTAGTTGCTTGTCTCGAACCGTGAACCTTCTAGTTGCTTGTCTCGAACCGCGAACCTTCTAGTTGCTTGTCTCGAACCGCGAACCTTCTAGTTGCTTGTCTCGAACCGCGAACCTTCTAGTTGCCTGTCTCGAACCGCGAACCTTCTAGCTGCTTGTCTCGAACCGCGGACCTTCTAGTTGCCTGTCTCGAACCGCGAACCTTCTAGTGCTTGTCTCGAACGTGACCTTCTAGTTGCTTGTCTTGAACCGTGGACCTTCTAGTTGCTTGTCTCGAACCGTGAACCTTCTAGTTGCTTGTCTTGAACCGCCTTCTAGTTGCTTGTCTCTAACCGCGAACCTTCTAGTTGCTTGTCTCGAACCGCGAACCTTCTAGTTGCTAACCGCGAACCTTCTAGCTTGTCTCGAACCGCGGACCTTCTAGTTGCCTGTCTCGAACCGCGAACCTTCTAGCTGCTTGTCTCGAACCGCGAACCTTCTAGTTGCCTGTCTCGAACCGCGAACCTTCTAGTTGCTTGTCTCGAACCGCGAACCTTCTAGTTGCTTGTCTCGAACCGCGAACCTTCTAGTTGCCTGTCTCGAACCGCGAACCTTCTAGCTGCTTGTCTCGAACCGCGGACCTTCTAGTTGCCTGTCTCGAACCGCGAACCTTCTAGCTGCTTGTCTCGAATCGTGAACCTTCTAGTTGCTTGTCTTGAACCGGACCTTCTAGTTGCTTGTCTCTAACCGCGAACCTTCTAGTTGCTGTTCGAACCGGCGAACCTTCTAGTTGCCTGTCTCGAACCGCGAACCTTCTAGCTGCTTGTCTCGAACCGCGGACCTTCTAGTTGCCTGTCTCGAACCGCGAACCTTCTAGCTTGCTTGTCTCGAACGCGAACCTTCTAGTTGCTGTCTCGAACCGCGAACCTTCTAGTTGCTTGTCTCGAACCGCGAACCTTCTAGTTGCTGTCTCGAACCGCGAACCTTCTAGCTGCTTGTTTCGAACCGCGAACCTTCTAACTGCTTGTCTCGAACCACAAACCTTCTAGTTGCAAATCAGTGGACAAATGCTCTTACCAGCTGAGCTACTCCTGCCCCTTCAAGGCACTCAAAGCGCTTTACATAAAACGAACCACTCATCCGTACAAACATACAGTATTCATGCACCAGTGTACTTAGAAACTAGGGGCAAGGTGGGTTAAGTGTTTTGCCCAAGGACACAGCAACAGCATTCATCTGTGGGAGCTGGAATCGCGTCGTCAACCTGTGGGTCAGCAGATTAACCAGACAGATGCTCTACAATCTACAAGAAACTTTCATTTTAATCGAAATCGCAATTTGAATGTACACAAAAACGCAAATTGCAAAGGCTGCAGTTTTTGAGGTACCATAATTTCTTCCACAAACTCTCTCTGTCTTATTCTGCATAAAAACTGCAAACCTTGTACTGCGATCTGTACAAACATGTCCTGAAACGTGATTCTTGTAGTCGTTTGTCAGTTCAGATTTCAGTCTTTTTCTCAGTTCTTCTGGACGTGTTTAGAATGTGAACTTCGAACAGGATCCTATTATTAATATATAGTATGTTGTCCTTTGTTAATAACATATAAATGAAATAACGATGAATTAAAAGGTGCACTGCGCAACTTCTCTGGTGAAGGGTCCGCCACCTGCTTGTCTCTATAGAGATGTTATTGCTTTCTCTGGAACATTTCATGTTATGACATTAAACATACCCATCTAGGGGTGTGCAAAAATATTGAAATCGTATCGTATCGTTTAATGTGATGATACAGTATTGATTGAGTATTTTTGGTATATTTTACACATTTTGTTCTCACAGTGCTACAGTTTGGTTACTTGTTTAGTGGAAGAAAACTCGTTTATGTGACACATTTGACATTTTCACTGTTTTGATGAGTAAAATGGGCGTTTTTCATATTAACTTTGCACAAGAAGTGGTTTAACAAAGCCTTTTAATATCACACCCTTGAGTTAGCCTTTGTTTTTTATTGAATCGTTTCAAATCGATTTGAGATGTATTGTATCGTATTGAAAGTTCACTGTATCGAGATGCGTATCATATCGTGGTCTATGTATCGAGGTATGTATCGTATCGGCAACTTCTTAATGATACCAACCCTATATCCATCTAGCATTTACTCATTACGAGTGTTTCTGTTGCTCAAAAATACAATAATTCCTTCTGTGAATAGGGGCGACTCTCCACAGATCTGACCTGTAATGTAGCATAGTGCTGTAACATGCTTGTCTCTCTCGTGGTAAATAGGTTTAATCTATACTGTGGAACGTTCTAGACAAAGCAATAACATTTCTAGGGAGATGCGCAGCTAGAAATGTTTCACAGTGCACTATTAAAATGATTTTAACTAAACTTGTGTGAGGAAAAAACACTCCATTGGGGGCCATGTGCACTTGCCTAGTCTTCTTCGACTCTGAACCAGATATGTCCACTTTTGCTTTCAATATTTTTAGTTTAAATTATGCAAAATGTATTCTATTGAGCTTTAATCCATGTTAGAATGTTAGCTCCTCAAAAACATACCAGAAAATCAAATCAGAAAACAGTGTAATATGTTCCCGTAAAATCCCGGCTCTGAATTAAACGCATCAACTTTCCCCTGCAATATTTTTAGCTTAACCTTTTGTCATTTTCAAAGCCAGGTCACCGCAGTGTTCTTTCTTTAACCTGCAAAAGACAATGTTGCGATTCATCCCTGCCCGTGCCCCGGCCTCTGACTCAGCAGCGCAACAATCGCGTCAGTGTGGGTCTGGCTAGCGCGCTCGACCAGGCGTGACTAACACAGAGCCTGCGGTACCCCGAGCTGCGCGGCGATTACAGGGGCCATACTTTACCATTGTGTCTTCGCTCTTGCTCCTTGCCACTTCCCTCTGTAGTCGAGCCAGGGCCAGCTTCTCCCTAAACACAGACGAGAAGAAGAAACCGTGACTCAACATGTCATCACAGAGCGTTCGAAGATAGCATCAACTCTCCGGCGTAAACATAGCCTGCAGATTGGACCAAAATAGCAGCAGTGTGATGGGAAGAATACATGAGACAGAATAAGTTTGGAGTGAAAATACGCAAGTAAAAGTAAAAGTATCACATTAAAACATCGATTTAAACGTGCATTGTGCAATTTTTCAGATGGATAAACTTTTCCGTCAAACGCTTTTCTACGTGGAGATGTTATCGCTTTGTCTGGAATGTGTCACAGTATGGCATTAAACCTTTCTATCTTCATGGAGACCAAACCAGACCAAGTTACAGGTCAGATCCGTGGAGAGGTGACCCCACTCACAGCCAGAACACCTGTTTGTCTAAGTATTTTTGAGCTATAAAACCACCTGTAATTGAATAAATGGTAAAGTAGAGCTGTTTAATGTCATACTGCGGAACATTCCAGGCAAAGCAATGACGTATCCATAGAAACAAGCAGGTTACATTGTGCTTCTTTAAGTAAAAGCACAAAAATACTCAAGTAAAAGTAAAAATGTCAGATGAAAAAATCTCCTGAAGTAAAAGCATGAAATTACCTGTTTTAAAATGTTCCTAAAGGGTAAAAAGTAGAAGTATTTAGGCCAGACATTTGTAATGTTGTGCTGTTCTAGTTGTTTTAATTTAACTGATTTTTTTTTTTTTTTTTTTGCTCAAACTATAAATGTGTTAAAAGTAAACCTTCAGTCTTTTCAGCAGGTCTCAAATACTTTTACTTTTACTCCAGTCCTGTTCAAAAACGTAATGATGTAGAAAGTACAGATAATTGCTCTCAAATGTAGTGAAGTAAAAGTACCCACAGTAAAGTACAGATACCTAAATGCAGTACTTTTACTACTACTACTACTTTTATTTCATTACCTTCCACCACTGCTAAACATACCTTGCAGATTGGATGAAAATAAAAGGGGGTCATTGGGGCATCCTTGTTCTAGCCAGGACCAAACAAAGAATTCCACGTGAGGAGGAGGGCATTCTGGGATTTAATGGGATAAATCTTGGCACACTGGCACGGATAACAAAGAGCCGGAGAGCACAGAGGTCTCCCGGGGTGCAGCTATACAGCCAGAAAGCAACAAATCTTACGCACAAGAAAGAGAAATGGCTCCCACATGCATAGCCACTCACTAAAAAACTACTGCCTGGACTCAAGTGGAGTTTCTTAAAGGCGAGCGCTTTCAAGATCTGCCAGTGCAACAATAACTCTGAGCAGTTTTAAAGAATTCCCAAATGTTGCACCAAATAATATTTTTGTTGGTGCTTTTGTCTGTGAAAAATGTGACAAAGTTCAGCGAAAATGTATCACTTAGCCCAACCCCAGTGTTTCTAAAATGAGGGTACAATTTCAAACTAATGTATTTTGGTCATAAATTGTAATTCGCAAAAATTAAAAACTGTAACATTGTAGAAAAGGCTATTTAAACTTTTTTTTTCCATGTATCTGACCAAAACTGTCTTGCACCAGTACAGTATAAGCAGCTCTTGAGGTCAAAAGAAGTCCGCTGTTTTCTGTCTGCATCTAATTATAAATCACTTTGTTGTCTGAGAATCAGGAAGTGCACAGTTAAAATGTTAGTTATTGTTAGCTTTACAATGACAGCAAACTCTGCTCTGGTCTCTAAATGTTATGAAAAGTGCTTAGAAACTCATATCTGTGAATAATTAGGATGCACTAGATGCATAAAGGTCAACGTGCACCAGGATGCTTTGACATGCAGGAAAATTGTGTCTAGGTCTTACTGAGCGCCGTGACTGGGGTTTGTTAAATCGGCGCATCTGAAAACACATGAGGCGTTTTGCACATGAGGCGTTTTGCACATGAGGCATTTTGCGCTTGTGCGGTGAGTACACACATGTCTCTGCTCTGTGACCAACAAAAGGAGCAGTAAACTTAAGAGGAAAGGCTCAGCGCTGCAGCAGAGGCAGAGAAAAGCCCAGGTGTTCAACTCAGCAAAACTCCACCTCCTCTCCCGCTTCCCTCCTCTTATTTAATCAGTAATCTGCAGACAAAATGCTCATTTAAACACCACAAGAGCTGTGTTGAAGCCTTTATAACAGCTATGATGCACAGTGTTCAGTGTGTTTTGACATGTGGGTTTGATGCGTGGCACACCATGTTTTGGTGTGCGTTGGCCATAAGATAAGTGGGGAATAACTTTGCACTAGGGCTGAACGATCTATCGTTTTAGACCGAAAATCACATCTCAGACAACACGATTTTGGGATCATCAAAGCCACGGTTTTATGCATTGCTCCTAAAGCCCAATTTATGGATTTATGGATCTGTATCAAGGTCTATGCGCCACAAAATAATTCACCACGACAACACAAAGAGGCAAGGATTTAAACCTGGCGCTTGTGTAAAGTTACATGAACCATCTCCAACATGACAGAAGCACAGAACAGACTCACCATCATCAGCACATCCTCTGTCACAGAAACAACACATATATTCCACTGAGTCGTGTTCTTTAGTCCGACAGAAGCTGAACACATCAGGAGCAGAAGGAGCGAGCTGTTTTTTTTTTTTTTTTTTCAGCGCTTACAGTTTATGCAAATTAGCCATGTGATTTTAAGTTTCATTTCTGTAAAACGTAAACAAATGCAAACAAAGCTGCATTAAACACATTATTACTCAATGTATACTGAAAGAAAGGAAAGCGAACTACAGAAAATGTATGTAGAGCAGACCAATCACAGCCCTTATTGTCTGTGTAGCTTCCCCTTATTGTAACGGTCCAGTGTCAAATCATCGGTGCTGGATTCTGGTATGATATAAGTTTCTCAAATATTCATGTGCACTGACACTTGATTTGAAAAAAAAAATCATGGATGTAACTGAAGTCGCAATATCTCCCAGAAAAATTGCAATTACATTTTTTCTTATAATCGTTCAGCCCTAATTTGCACCACTGCAAACTGTTTAAAATCAACTAGTTCTGATTTTGATGTGTTTAAAACTATAAAAACAAGTACAAAGCATTTACAGCAGATGCAATAATTATTACACTGAACAAGCAAAGAAAAATCAGAAGATAAACATCACTTTTCTCAATATATTTTAACAATCCCTGTAGACGTTTGCTTATCTTGACATCCTTGACTGTCTCCAATCTCAATTTCAACAACCGACCTCGATCTATTCCAGATTCTCCACGCGAATACCCCTGTTATTATTTTCAGACATTCAATAACAACAAGGCCTAGACGCAACCTTCCAGCGCGGGTCCCCCTCTAGCTAAGCTCCAAAAATAGCCTCCTGACTAACCACTTTTCAGACGGCATTGTTCTATTTGCCTACCTGTCGCCTACGGGCCGTGATTAAGCAGCAGCTGGGGGTAACTGTAGCATGACTCCTCTGTCTGGCCTCGGCTGATCCAGACTTTGCTGATTTAGGCTTGTCTGGTTTGGAGTAGAATAAATCCTGTTCTTAATGCGTAAAAAAGTATACTGTAGGGATTGTCAGAGCAAGCGCACGTTGGCGGATGAGGTGACGGATCTGGCAGGAAGTAGGTGTGTAGCTCGCTAGGTAACGCGTTCATTGATTGAGGTGTGGGCGCCTGTATTCATAGAGGTGTTGTTTGCTAATAAAAAAATGAGAAAAGTGGAGCAGTTATGGAGCTGGACTAAAGGCTGTTGTAGTACATTCTTTAGACGTGACACATTGGCACTTTGTACTATGTGTCTAAAGAGCCTTGTTGTCGACTGTTGGTAAATTAGTCATTGGGGACTAAGTTTTATTCACTTGTTAACCTTTAGACTGTACTACTGGTCTCTTTTCAAATTTATTACTGAAATAACATGTTTGCAAATCTTGAAAAACGGACATTGTTTGGTTGGTTTAGACTGGTAGATTACTCAAAATGTGCATGTCTTGCCAAGGACAGAAAGGCGAACCAATCGCTCATCAATGTCGTGTTGATCAGAACACGTATGATTGAAATATCAATATATCGTCTTGTTTAATGTGATGATACAGTATCAATATCGTGGACTGCTGTATCGATATATCTCCAAGAGTATTTTTTGGTATATTTTACTCAATTATTTTGTTACAGTGCTACAGTTTTGTTGCTTTGTTCAGAGGAAGGAAACTCGTTCATGCGACACATTTGACATTTTCATTGTTTTGATGATTAAAATGGGCGTTTTTCATATGAACTTTGCACAAGAAGTGGTTTAACAAACACTTTTAGTATCACACCCATGAGTTAGCCTTTATTTTTTATTGAACCATATCGATTTGACATATATTGTATCGAACCAAAAGCTCACTTTATCAAGATATGTATCATATCATGGCCTATGTATTGAGGTATGTATTGTATGGGCAACTTCTTAATGATACCCAGCTCTAGTAAAATGTGTCCAACAAAAGTTTTATACAAGAAATGTCCCTATTTTGGCCCAATCAAGTCATAAATGGTCCGAATGTGTAACAGTTTTCCTTAATGACTTTCTCTTTTCACTTTTCAATATTATTAGTACCAGCCACCCCAAACCGAATGTGTCCCAGTTTTTGATTTTGAAATTCTAGTCACTCTAAGCTTGGCCGTAGTATCCACGATTTCTCAAACATGAATGAAACACGACTGAAAATTGAACATTAAAAGGTGACTACCACAGTGAATTTTGCATAATAATAAAAATACCTCAGTACAAATTGTAGCAGCTCAGTCCATGTACCATTCTTTCTTTTGAATTTCAATTAAGAGTAAAAAACAATATGGGATAAACAGTTTGTTATTTCATTTTTCTGTTTTAGTGTCAAACAAAAGAAACTGATGTCGACCTCTATTTCCAATATTTAATTTAAAGTCTATTTCAAATAACACCAATCAAAAAACAGTCCCTGTGCCTATTTTAATTTTGATATTTTATTTTCTCTGGTTTATTTGCCGGGCACATTCTGCTGCTAGAAG